TGACTCTTGGCCAAAGTGACTCCCACATAGCATCAGCAGTAGCGTCACCAAGCCCTCATCTATGCCTTTTTTTTTTGTTCCACAAATAAAACTAGAGTAACAAAGGAAAATTCAAGTGCATCACATCCATAGCAATGACTGTAGTGCCATGTTCTCTCTCAAAGAATAATATACAAATGCATATTAATAAGCATCTTTTAGCACAAGTCTCTTAGTAATTTTTCTTCTCTTCTGCCACTTCTCCTTTCTGCCCAAAGTAGCTCAGCCATTTTCTTATATTTTCCTAGTTAAGACAAGCTGATATGCATAATAATATTTTGTTACGGAACAATGAACTATTTTTCTTTGTCCATTTAAAAATAAACAGTAATTTTTAAGAAGAAACTGAAAAGGTTTATTAAAATGGTAAAAAAAACCCCAATGCAATACAACTTAAAAGGGTAGCTGCTGCAGTATTTTTTATATATGGAAATTAAAATAATGTACCAAAGTTATCTGCCTATTCTTTGCTTCAGCAAAACAACAATCTCAGAGAAAACGGGAAAACAACTGTACTTGATGTTGTCACATCATTTACTTTACTCGTATGGCAAACTCCCTTCCCTGATATTTATCTGTCTTGTCCGTTTAGATTGCAGAATAGTTTGGGCAGGGATTTTCTGCCACTTTGCATCCAGAAAAATGCAATCCCATTCTTAGACAATCTGTAGGCACTGCTGCACTAAATGCAATCATTAACATCAAAATGTATGGTTTTGCAAAACTCTTTTTTTTTTCCTATTTTTATCTAGACTTTAAGACCACAGCGTTTATATAATAGGTAAGTTGTTTTAATAGCAGTAAGTACAAAGTCTCCACATTACACACGCACACACACATATATATATATACACACACACACACATATATATACACACTTTCTTTCAAAAGCAATCACTGCTTTGGGAAAACAGTTCCACCAAATAAAACTTTTAGTACATTGTAAGCAAGGAGATTATTCTTTCTGAAGATACTAGATTCCATCAGAAATACTTCTGTATTTATTAAAATAACATGCACATTATGTTTTACACCTTTCAGAGCACATATGCTTACAGCGCATATGGTCTGTATAAATATACAGATTATACACATTTAATTATAGATTTAGCTATCCATATAGTTTATACATATATATGTATTTAATATACACATCTACATAATTAGTGCATATGTTTAGATTAATAATTGCAGGGGAGACAGCCCTTAGGGAAAGGCCAGACACTGTAGCCAACTAAATGATTTACAACAAAAAAAGAAGATATTAAACTTCTTTCTTCCTGAACTTGTTCAAAGAAAAATATTTTTTGTACCTTTTAGTCTATAAAGCTGGATATCTTAACTAGCTAAAAACTCTGAAAGATTCAAATGAGTGAGAAAGTACAAGAGATACGCTTTTATTCTAGAAAATATAAATTAGGCAACACATGCAAGAAGTATAATGATGACCAGTAAAAATGAAGTCCAATAACGTTGGAACCTTCCAACATTAAAGAGTGCTGTACGTACAACAAAGATTCCCTTATAGTTAAAACCTTCTGTTTCTATATCCCTGAAGTTGCATACTAATAAGGCTTAGAGCTGTCAAAAAAATTAATACCCCCCTTTCTGCAACTTAAATCAACTCAGACAAAAATATGAGACAGAAGTAAATACACATTTTGTGCATGTTTCTCTAACATCAAGACAATATAACTTTGTACATTATGTGAGCAGTGCTATCACACAGATAGTAAATGTATCATTTCTATTTGATTCAGGCACATATTTCAAATATATACCAGAGATCAAATATGCACATATTTAAATAACTGAACAACACAGTTGAATTCAAAATATTATGTTGTATAAAACAAAAAACTACTAGGCAAGGTTCCTATATTTAAAGGTAACTACAAAATTTATGATAGAAAGAAAGATAAAATAGTATTTGTCATTAACATCCTGATTTAATGATCAAATGGTGACAGTGAAGTAAAGAAGCCTTTTTCATTAATACTTACTTGGCATGTAAAGAAAACCATAAACAATGATGATAAAATTTTGCCTAGTCTCAAGACTCAAGGAGGTAGGTGTCTAATTTCCATTTTATTCTATTGGATTTGGGTGCCTAAATTCTATTAATATTTCTTTAGAAATCACATCTTTATGGGTTCTAAGGCTGAAAGAGATCATTACGACCATTCAGGTCTGGCATACCTAATAGACTGCAGAAACTCATTTAGCAACTCCTGTATAGGAAGTTTAATAGCTTTTGTTCGAAGTAAACCACCTTTTTTTAGAAGCACAACCATAGATGTGATGCTACAACTATAGTATCTTTAAGATGGAAAAGTCTAATACTCCTTTGCTAAACTAATCAAATGGTGACATATGTTTCAACAGTCATTAAAAAAAATTCAATGCATTAAAACTATAAAAGGGGGCTAACCCTTTATTGGGAAAAAACACACTACACCTCAATGAATCAGACTCTTGTATTATTATTTGCTACAGAAAGGTTCTCCCTAAGTGGACAATTAAAGATGTACTGAGGTAAACCCATTGCAAAGTTTCTTTTTTTGACTTCTGAGAGATAATAGTCATTAAAAATACATTGCTTTTTTAACAGCTTAAGCTGAAACAGATATATAATTATTAGATATATAATTTATTAAAAGACATAAATCAGCTTCCCTTTGGTTCATTTCATTAATTTAAATAATGAAAACTGTAAATATTAATATTAGGTACAGTTCAGTAAGTACACTTTAAATGAGCTGGAAAAGATCTATCATTTAAGAAGAGGAAAAACTAGCTAAAAATAAGCTTTATCTAGAAGTGCTTAGTCTTAAAAGGGTTGAGGAATTCCAGCCTGGCTCATGTTAGAATCTTACTGGGATTCAGAGATACCAGTCTACTAAAATCAAGCCAACTAAAATCCAGTGAGGGTCATGATCCCGTGCTAAGTATTAGTGCGCACACAGATGGGCCCAGGATCCTTAAAAATGTCAGTGCTTTTCTTTCATGAAGGTCTGATATTCCTGCTCCTCCTCATAGCGACTACACCACTTACTGAGAAAGCAAGGGACAAATGTGAGCCTCTGGATTACCAACTCTCCTCTTCCCTGTTTCTCCCTCCAAGGCACCAATTACAGAGATACAGGGAAATTTTAGCTTGAATCCACTTAAGCAGAGAAGGAAACTGAAGTCTACAACTTTATCAGCAAGTGTTCAAGCTGTAATTCTCATTACTGCACATTTGGAGGAAGCCCCTCAATTCTTGCTAAGAAAGATTGTGCAGAGTTTGAGCAGCCGGAGCTTCCCAGAAGCTGTTCCCAGTGCTTCAGTTTTGTCAGGAGCTGCAGTTCAGACACCTCAACTTGAGGTGGCTCTGAACAGCACATGTGATTGCACTGGACTGCACTGATGGGTACATCACACTCTCCAGGTACACGGTAAAGAGCTTAGTTGTCTAAATCTAGGCTCTGAATTAAATTCTAAAGGGCACATCTAAAAATTAGGTGTTGCAGCATCTGTCTTTTAGATATTCAAATTGTTATTTTTATCTCATCTATTAAAGGATAGAAATAATACTGCAGCTTTTCAAGAGGACAGCAGTCACATTAAGTGCTAACTTCCAAACTACAGTAGAAACCCCACCAGCATTAATAACAAACAAGATATTCTTCAGTGCATATTCTAACTCTGTGGCAAGTTTTCCAGGATAGACCACTAAGATGCATTTTTCCAATTCCATGATAATAGCAAAAGCCATTTTACTAGATATTCCATAAAGTAACAATGCTTCCCACGTGCTCTTTTAGCACACGAAACTATAAAGAGAGAAGCTCACCATTCTAAGTATTAAACCAAACGAATTAAAATTATATGGATTTCTTACACTGATTGCATTGAAGTATCTCACAGTTGCTCATAAGATTGTTTAGTTTTGAATACTTTCATTTAACACTTCATTGTAAATCAGCAGATAATGACAATTGCAAATATACCACCTCAACAAACCAGCTTGCAGAACAGGTCTTACAGAAGTGCTTACAGAAACTTAACTGTTGTAAATGTTACAACATCAAGCACATTGATATTCAATGTACAAGAATCAGGATTATGGCCTATGTGGGCTAAACACTGATTTTATTTCAATAGTTAACTAGTATGTTCACTTTTCCAGATACTCCATTATCTTAAAGAACTATTCAATACCAAAGGATCTAATTCTTCAAATGTCCATTGTTATTGGGTATAAAGCTAAACTTGAATTTCCTTAAAATTTTAAACATTTACTCAGTGTTACACAAGGGAAATTACTTTTTTTTTTTAAATTTTATATCCATTTCCACAAGTGTAAATGGACTGTGCAGAAGGGTAAGGCAATTTAAAAAAGCTCCATAGAACGGCAAACGTGAAATAACTATTCTGACTGTCTTTTTCAATAATTAGATTGTTACTGGTAACATTTAGATCCATCAAGTCAATGACAAAAGTGTACTTGCTGCGTGTGCAACAGCTTCCACATTTTCTAATCTAGAGAAGCCGTAGCATTATAGCTCTAATTTTTCCCAATGTATAAAACATTTTGTGTGCAAAACCCCTGATTTATTATTGACTTAGATGGATTACCAAGCTCTGCTTCCTTCTTTAGCCTTGAACAAAGGCTAAAGTTCATGCCTTTGCTGAGTAGCAGATGTTCATGAAGTTTGACCTACTGGGAGAGGAACATGAACATGAACTCTTAACTTCAGCATATTTCGCAGTTAGAAACATACTTGACAAAGCCAGTTCCAAAAAATCCAACAAAAATAAAATGTTATTTCACAGAAGTGTAACAGAAAGTATCTAGTTCACCCTTTATTTATACAAGATAGAAAAACATGCCTTCCTGGCCACCTTATTTTTCTAATTCCTGTTTCTGTAGAATAGATTACTAGCAGATCTTCAGAGAAAATACCACTGGTTTGCTTGAGAATAAAAAAGAATAGTGCATCATTATGAGCATTTCGGATTTCAAATAAGCTAGATGTAATGGAAGGCTGTTGTAAGAGTAGCTCTTGCCATTCAACTCTGCAAAATGGCAACAGTCCCATCAGTGTTGAAGACTAGAGGCAAGTAATTCAGTAACAGAATATAATAGTATAATATTATACCAACATGTCAGATTTAAGCTAAGCTAGAGATAATTAGAAACTGTTATAAGATTAGCACTTACCATTTAACATCAGAAGATTGTCAGTCCCTGGATGTGGGTAACTCAAGCGACCTTAAAAAAAAACCACACAAAAAAAAACAGAGAACAAAACAAAACAAAAGCAGAGGTTTTAGCTATTATGCTAGAAAAAATAATGAAAAAAAAAAATCACTGCTTAGAATTTAAATACAAACTGTATTTCCAGTTTGCCTAAGGGAAATAAAGAGCTAATATTTAACTCCAAGCACATTAAACAACAATACCCTTGACCCAAGTTAAAGCTGACAAGAACAGACTTCTTAACCTTAATTCTCTGGTCATAAGATCTGCAATGTGCTTTGGGATCAGCTCCAATAGGATAAAGCCACTTTTTGTTTCATGACACCCAGAAATAGTGCTGACTGCTTTAGTCTCCTCTTTCATATTGACTGTGAGTAACTGTACTATGCACATTGCTTAACAAAGTGGCATTTCTGCAGTTTAGTGCTTCTCTACTGAATCAATTTAAGAAAAATCATGTTAATAGGAATTAAGGCATTAAAATTTTATTAAACAATTTACGGCTGTATCTTGCTGTATTACATATAACCATTGTAATATTTTTCAGCAAGTCTGGCGAAACTAGAGTACTGGTTTATCTACAGAGTTAATCAAATTAAAGAATACGATAGGTAACATTTTCAACATTTTATACTGAATAAAAATTACATGAAAACCTCATATCCTGACATTAGAATTTTTCAAATATTGCATTTTACTACACTGGTGGCATGTTATACTTTAATAGTTAAATGAATGGTTTAAATTGCACAGCTGAAGTGTCTGTTCAGTACAAATTCCTTTTTATTAAAGGAGACATTTTCTGTTTACAGGAAGCTGCAAACATACCAGTAGTGCACAGTGACCTAGAGAGACATTTAAAATAGCTGCTGTGTTTGGAAGAAGTGTGCTTTAATGTGCAAAAACCTGCATTTCCATCTATCTTGCTATTCAAACATACTTGCTTGCTTATAATCCATAAGCATATATAGAGAAAATACTGTAACTTAAACATTTAAATCTTTTGGAGGAAACAAGAATGTTTGTGGATGCATGAAGAAGAATCCAATCCGGAAGCAATGGGTGTTTAGAACTCAAACAGGTTTAAAAGGGAACATATACGCCAATGGCTTGTAAGATTTGAGTAAGTATTAGTAAGACACTGTCATACCCTAATAAGGCTCACTCTTTTCAAAAAGAAACAACAGAGGGGGGAAAAAAGGAAAAAAAAAAGCCAGCAAGCCAAATCAGCAATCCATATACTAAGGTTGTCTAACAATTCCTATCATACACTCTGGTGGTTTTTTTTTTCCTCTACTCTTGGTAAACCCACATGATTAGCAGCAAGACTGGAAATTTCTTGAAAAGGTAGTTCCGTGTCCCAAGGGACACTTTCAAGGTTAAATAAAAAATCTTTTTGCTGAAAATCTGTAAGCAATAAGGTTTAAGTATTGCTCCTCCCCCTTTAGGAAACCAACACAATAAATTTCTACAAAAAAATATAGAAAAAAATATACATTATGAATTCTTACACTCAAAACTTGAAAATAGCAAGCTTAAGATCATTTAGGATATTTTATTCACCCTTGTTATTCACAGGCATCGTGGCAAAAATATTTTTATACAGCCACATACTATTTCTCTTCCCACAGATTTCATTATTCTAAGAATGGATGGTATCGGAACACCTGCAGATTAGGTAGGAACTATTTGCTTTAGAATTTCCAAGTGTGGAGAAAGCGGTGCAGGGCAAGGGCAGACTCCTGGAAAAGGGCAGATGAATGCCACCCAAAAGGACTCTGCTGTCTTCTCTAACTTCTACAGAATTTTTGAGTAGGCATAGGCAAGATAGTGAACAAAAATCTTTGTAGGAGCCTCTGTCTTAACGTTCCTTATCTCCACTTTTAACATACAAGCCATTTTTTCTGTCACACTGAACATTTACAGCTATACCTAATGTTTCTTGGAACTACAAACATTCCATCCTTCTAGCAATACATGCTGGTATAATAAGAAGAGAATTTAGGAACAAGGCATCCTTAAATTGCAATCTGATAGCTGCCACTGGCTTGCTCTGCCTGGTGTGTAACAAGGCTTTACTTCTTAGTTCTTTGGTTTGCAAAGGTAATACTCATTTGCCTAACAGCAAGGATTTTACAAGATGATTTACTGCCACCATCATGTTTATATTCGGTGATATAGAAATCCCTGCAACAATACGAGCTGTTTCTTGCAAATCATAATGTTGTATCTATCTAGGATAACAATAGCAATTGTGAAAAACTATTATCTCATCTTGAATCTCCTCGAGTCTGCGGTGACAGTCTTTCTCCCTGTCTGTACACATTTATCTTCTTTTCCTATTCAAGCAAGGGAGACAAAGATACTTTTTTTTTTTCCTGTAATTACTACAGAAAGAGAGGTCAGATTTAAGGCCTGGCAGGAGAGAGAAGCCCACCAGTGTCAAGACCTAGAGAGGAGAACTGTTTTAGAAGACAGTAAATTCTGCGTTTATGACTCTGGTTTTGCATTCTTCTGCTTGTTACCCCCCTATAGCTAGCTTCACAAATAAGCTGCATCTGAAACACAGGTGCCAAACTGAAAACACTGAAATAATAAAGCACTCCTCATTAAGGAGCAGGGAGAGAGTGCACTGGGGAGCTGGGCCCACCACTGCAGCGCAAAACCTCTGACTCACACAAAGCAGCCCAGTCTTGCTGTGTTATGGAGACGAATGTGCTAGGTCAGATAATGAATGATTTGAGGGTTGGAAAGGAAAATGAGCAACACTTTACTCAGTACATGCACAGCTGTATTGATACTTCTTTTAAGTCTTATTTACATGGTTATTTCAATGGAAACATACTTTGATTACTGCATTCTGGTGAACTTAATACTTGTGTTTACTACCTTGTCTAGTACTTGGACTTACAACCTCAAAAACATTTTTAACATAGGTTTGCTTACTTTTTCAAAATACAATCACTGCTATTTGATGCTTTAACTTAGGTTCTTATCCCTCAGATTAATCTGTGCAAGCAAACAGCAATGTCTAGGGTGTCCACCTGAATTTCATGATATATATAAATTCAGAACACCATGCATGGAACTGAGTGTAAGATCAGTCTTACACAGAGCTCAGGTTACACTATTTAATAGATTATTCTAGTTAAATGGTCATATACTATATTAAATCTCACTTAAAAATATAAACTACAGAAGATGGGAGCACCATCTTATAACAATTTACTTTGCTTCTACCACATGTTTCTTTCTAGTCAGCTATTTTCACTGCGCATTGTTCGAGGTGTTTAAAAAAAATCACAAATGCGCTATTTTAAGAGCTGCCCTCACCACAAAGCCTATCTAATCCCACCCTACTTCAATGTCAGTAATCTAGAATCATATAAACCGTTCAATAGATATTCCAGCAACTCCAGTGGTCTCTGCCTGCTTAAAAAAGAAATTTTAATAATATATAAAGATACTTTACTAGTTTAAAATCAACTACAAATCAGTTAGAGAATATCTAATATTTAAATAATAGATTCCATTCCTGAGAAATGAAAAGTAATCACTTCACTGACTGTCTACAGAACTTGGCTCTACAGCATCCAAAATTAGTAACACAGTACTATCTGAAACAAATACAATGCGTAATATTACAGTGCTGGATAATAAAGTATCATGTTATAGAAATTTTCTCTGTGCAAACCTGAACTTGCAACTTCATCACATTACTGCTAAGTAATAATTCTCATGTATCATGTCTAAATTCAAAATAGTATTGCTAAGGAGAAGCAGGTATGTTTGACATTTCTCATGCAACTAGAGTTCGATTAAATTTAGCCCCCTCTTCCATATGTAAATGTGACTAATGTTAACAGAACTGCCTGGTATGTATTTCTCACAACATATTCTTCTGTAAGGACAGAAAAAAATAAAATGCTTGCAAATAAATTTTAGTGGACCAGTTTATCCAGTAAATCCAGTTAAAAGTCTTGCTAATCCAAACCATGAGGAAAGAGTAACAAACTTTGTTTTAGCTACGTTTCTGTAATCTCATGTTACTCATACGGGCAAGGGAAATTTAAATTTTTTTGTAAGCTGCTTCTGAGCATGCAGATGTAGTTGTGCTTACTCACTTTTCAAGGGAAATTCATATCTACTTTTGGAAATGCATACTTTCTATTTCTATTTAAATAAACTGTTGGACGACTCTCCATATATTAAAACATTTGGGATAGATTTAAGTATAACAACTGCTTTAAACTTTGTTGACTCACAGTTTCACAAATTTGGTATTTCATATCTACTCTCCCTCTCTTTTTAAAAAAAGTCTTAAATGGTTGAATGAAGACACTGAGAATCACAAGTTCCTTTCTCATCTTCCTTTTTTTTTTCCCAAGAGATCTCCTGACTAGAAGAGAAAAAGCTTCCAAATTAAGCTTTTCCCAAACTACTTTAACAGAGCAGTGAATAGCTGAGGATTGCAGCAGTTTAAGAAAGCTCAGTTTTTGAATCAGCGTAGTTAAGGCAACAGCACAAAACCATGTTTGGACTACACCTAGTTACAGAAAGCCTAGATACTACACTTTGAAATGCTTGTGTAAGAATTATGTAAGTCATAATGAGGCCAAATGTGTTGTCTCTGATAGTCGATCTATTCAGTCAAATCAGTCCATCAGTCTTAAATATATTCTTGTATCATAAAAAGTTTCTAGACAGAAAGAGGAAACAATCTGTATTTACAATTTCAAAGCCTTTTATATGACTAAGAACAAAGTTTCTTCTTCTGTACTTTTTTGTTCAGCCTCAGAAACTTTTCTGAATGCAATTTGAATTACTCTAGGAAGCAATTGCGTAACTTTAAACGTTAGAGCTTCATAACACAAAACAAATTTCATTGAAAACAAAAGTTACCATATGCAAAGTAAGAAAACATTCTCTACGGTGTTGCTGAGTCACCAAGGCTTTTTTTTACTTCACTGAGCATGCACCATCATGGTTGCTTTTAAAAGAAAGACATCTAACAGCTGAAAAGCTCAACTAAACCAATTTAAAGGGAAAATAAAACCACGAAAAAGCAAGACAGACTTCTAAGTGCATCAAGTTATTTTTTCCCCACAGAAAAGCCAAATAATAGTGTTTATTATTTACTACTAGCTATACAAAAATATACATTTGTGTAACTCTCCTAAAAAATTCTTTTCCCCCCTCACAAGGAAACAGAAGAAAAATTCAACACAAAGTTAATATTCCTTCTTGCTACTCTGACTAATACACCTATAGCTAATACAAAGTTCAGTACGGTCTTACATCTAGCTTGCAGAGCTGTAAGAGTTGGTCAGCAGACAGAAATGAATTGTAGACTGAGTACAGTACCAATACTCTTGCCTTACAAAAGACACACACTTATATTACATGGAAAATACCACAGTCTTTACTAAAAAGATGTTTAAAACAGTAGATAATAAATTTGATTAAATCACTTGCTCCTCAATTCTAGTACATGTTCCAGGCAAAATACAACCCTTTCTTCTAATTTTTTTCCGTGATCCATTTTGGCCTCCAAGTTTTCTACATCTTGACATAAAAAGCATCAGTATTTAGGGGAGGAGAAGGGAAACAAAAAAATCAAAGTACAAAAGAGGTATGTCTGGAAAAGAGTTATACTACCAATACCCGCGTATTTCAGGCTAATATTGTAATTCTTCTCCCAAAATAGTTTTAAGGGCTATTAGAAGAATAAAAAGGGTACTTTTAAGAATAATTATGTAAAAAATTATGAATTTATTTTAACTTTTATTAATTTTATCTTCAGTTTTTATTCCACTGATTGGATGGGGCAATCTTAAACTTAATGTCTTATTATGAAATGCATTTCAAGAAAGCTGCATGGGAAAGACTAGTTTTAATACAATCAGTATTTCTGCTGCAATGACTAGAGAAGTCAAGCATCTATTCCCTATTAGCCTACCTTGAAAAATGTCTTACTGAAAGCTAAGAATTACTTCTTTTCTTTTGATCACATCTGTAGTAATGACTAAACTTTGCCTAAGTGAAGCTGAAACTATGCATCTATAAACAATTTTTTGGCAGGCATAAACTTAGTTTTCAGTGAATCATATTTGAAATAACGCTTTTACAAATTTGTGAAAGCACAAGTGGTGGAATTTTACTTCCTTCTAAAACGGATCGTGAAATGTAAAACTTAAAAGCTGTGAGCGAATACACACAGTGTCTGTTCTGCATTGTGCAGAATCTGAGACAAGATGCTTAGTCATACGCCAGATATTGTAAGCAGCTAAATCTGAAACACGTGCTTAAAATTCCAGGGACTTTCATTTCACTGCTGTGGTCAGATATAAAAGATGCATTGTTTTTGTGTGCTTAGATTTACTTACAAACTTGTCATAAAAATATTCTCTAGTTACAAAATATTCTTTATTTACAATAAAGTCCATTATATATTAATAAGAACAACAAATAAATAACAATAATATTCTTAATCCTGTGCATTATATTAATCCCAGCAAATATGATGGGTTCTTAAGTAAATGTCGGATTTTCTGTGGTGAAAAGAAAAGCCACAGAGACTGAAATAACAAAATCAGTGTTTCACGGTTTGCAGAAAAAAAAAAAGTTGCTAGGAAATTACACAAATGCCAACTAATGGTGACTAAACAGAAGAGGGGTAGGGAGAAACTACAAGGCTATCCTAGAATGTGATCTCTTCCCATTTCATCAGTAAAGAACATTTCCTGTGTCTTACTCTTAATAATATAATTGTTTCAGCTGAAGTAACTTCCAAACAGAAAAAAAAAATCTTAACCAATTTAAATAACAGCACGCAATTACTGTATTTAAATTCAGTTGGCATGTGCATTGTTCTCTGGCACTTGAACAAAAAAATGGATTTCCTTTGAATTCATCACTATCTATGACTTCCATCTGTCTTAGTTCAAACACAAAACTTAACAGAATTTTCACTGCAAGAGTATGATGCTGAAACTGTTAAAGAAAATATTTAGTTTCTTAACTGTAGACTGAAACCATATACTCACATCCCTAGAAAGCACAGAATAACTATAGAAATTTTACTAAGTTTTTCAAAAGTGTCTATGTATGAATCCAATTCACTTTAAATCGTTAAAGCTTTGTCTTGTCTTACTCTTGCTGAAAAAATATTATTGGAAAGACACTTTTAATCTATTTTATCACAATGAAATATGAAGAGATGAATAAAAATAAAAATGAGTCTTTTCTGTGCTCGCTCTGCCTCTGAACACTCTTCTACGTGATAAAGTCAAAATGACAATAGCAAGATGGCAGGGGGAAGAGAGCAACCACTTCCATTTGTCATGTCAGCCTGCATAGAAAAAAAGTGAACAAACCGACTGGTTTTCAGGAACGTGAGAGGTGCCAATGACAGTATATTGTGATAGAAGATCTGCATTCTCTAATTTTATGCCTAACAGTACCTTTACCTTTTAATATCCTTCCTGATGGTAGCTTTGGGTTCAGATAACCGAAGCAATATTAGTCACCACCCGAGTGTGGCAAATTGAAGCAACAATGCTTTGAAACGGGGATGATCTAACTAGTTACCTTGTCTTTGATGACATAGGCATGCTTTTAGTTCACAGCAGTTACTACCAGGCTAACTGTACACAGGTTTCAACCCCTTTGTGTTACTTAGTAATATTTTGTAAACACGCAGAATAGACAGAAACTGAATTTAATAATGGACTTAAATGATAAAATTGTTACGACTGAAATTAATTCTCTGTAGGCAGTAAGAAATGAGATCAGATTTAAGAACATCTAAGAAAATTTAATTTTGGCTTCCACTCTAAAGAGGAGGAAAATTAACTGGCTAACTAAATGCTACCCACTTACTGATGCTTTGCAGAGATTTTCAGCTTGAAAAAGAACCACCACCATTTGGCTTTACAAAGTAAATCTTACAATACTATTACATGCTATCTGAATACTACAGGTGTTCCAATTGATTACAGATCTTAAAAAGAACCAGGAGCAGACCTTAGCAATGTGTCTTTCAAATTAGGAGAACACAAGCCCTTCTGTGCTAATGTAATAGTATCTATTAAGTCTAGGAGCCTCGAGAAATGAAGAATGGATGGGAGTAAATAATGATATAAAAAGAGAAGGGTTTTTTTTTTAATTTTTTCAATTGCATCAATATTGAGACTTAACTTCTGCAAAGCAAGCCTGAAGTCTTGGATAATTTCAAAGTTAGATTGTGTTAGTCTAATTATAATGCCACAAATGAAGTAACATTTGATCAGGCCAAATAAAACGGCTTGGGCTCCCTGCCCCAAAGTTCAACAGTAAATGCCATCTGAGAATAAGCATGGAAAAATAGAATTCAAAAGAGTGAGTTTATGTATAGTGAATAGAGAAGTTAAAACTGAAGCCCACAAATGTTAACTGTATGCTTACTGATGTGGCCAAATGATTTGAACAGAGCCCAGAAGGGTAAGAGGAACCAGCATTCTAAAGACAAGTGTACTTCTGGACTTCCTCAGACAAACAGAAACTGAACAATTAGATGCATTATTATCCTCCAGGGGCTTTGGAAATATATTTGAAAGGACAACAACTGAATTTATCCATGAACTTAATTTTCTTTTCAGCTTTCACTGCAAAAAAAAAAAGGGGAAAACTAACTGGCTAACACTAGTAGCGGTTTGATTCCCCTCCCACCCTCTCTTGGCTACCTCTAATAGAACAGTGTGTCTTCACAAACTGAGGTAGAACTTCCTACAGCAGACAAGTAAATTTCAATATTTCAAATAAAACTAACTATAAATATTTTGGGGGAATGGAGGGAAGGATAGAGCTGAGAGGGAGAAAAACCTATGAAGACACTAAGGCTTAAGTTTTAAACGACTGTAAACCAATGATTTCAGTAAAATACAGCTTGAGATTGACCTTTCATGTGAGTTGAAAACATAATTCATTAGCTACTTTAACATGAACCTAGAATCTAAATTAGTAATCAGTATTAACTGTAATATGCAGAATGGATGACCCTTTTTTCTTTATTTAGCATAATAACATACCTTTAAGTGGATCATGCTCTGCTCTCATAATGTCAATAAGGGAGTTTTCCAAAGAGTGCATATTCAGACTGTCATACATTCTATTTCGATCCTAAAAGAGAACAAAATCCTTAGTATTGGAATACAAATTCTGTACTTTTTAACAGGAAACTTGATAGGAAGACAAAAGCGCCTTCTAAAGGCTGTACGCTCAGACACTCTAGAGATAGACAATGATACAAGAGCTTAAGATACCTGAATTTATTAACAGTAAGTTTAATGGCATCCAAATATAAAACTAGAGATGCACTGTGAAGAACTCTTCTGTGTATGCACTTTGATAGCCTGTGACTGCCTGTTTCCTTCAGAAGAACTGCTGGAATCAGTTCTAGTGATCCACAACAGAGTTAAGCATCAGGCTGTTTAATGAAGGAGACAAACGTCTCTAAGAGCTCAATTTCATTTCATGCAGAAGTTAAATAGTGAGTGGGGTGGGGAAGGACAGTCACCTCATATGAAAGGAAGCATTTTCTTGGTGCTTGGCTAAGTACCTTGCACGGGCACTCAGCCCCCTGCTGAGACTGCACTTCCTGGCTTCTGGGCAATTCATCTCAGACACTTCGCATACAAAGACTTGAGTTACAAATGGTCAGCAGTAAATGGTTAAAGGTTGGAAAATTAAAGCTAAACTATGAAAACAAAATGTCACAAAGCTTACTCATAGATAATCAGTCTCATAAAGAACAATTTTTTTTTGCACATGAAGATGAAGAAGAGTCACCATAATGTCTTACAAATATTTTCACTGAAGGTAAGAAAAATTATTGTAATAAATTATAAATGTTTTCACTGGATTTATGCTCAACTAAGACATTTTCTTCCATGTTTTCTAACACATCCAAGTTACAGAGATAGAAAAAATGAATTCTAACTTTTTTTTGTCTTTCTGGGATACCTTGAGATCCTGAAAATAGTTTGCACAAAATTTTGATCTCTTCTACTTGCAAGGCTTCTGCCTGGACTGTATTGCACTTAAAGGAATCCTATAATCATGCCTTAATTTTCTTGTCTTCTCCCTGGTTGCACTGTAGTAATCCAACAGAGTAGGACAAAATACACCACACACATCCCATGACCACTAAAATTCACTAAAGATGCAGCCAACCACTTAGTAAATATGCAATGGGGACAGGAGGTATCTGACCCATGCTCACTATGACTTTCCATGGCAGTTCAGCAGAACACAGATTAATTTCAAACTATGTCTCTCAGCAAACAGGTATTAAACAGTAAACTTTGAAATAGAGGTTTTCTATGAGTCAGAAACTGTGATTTGCCAACAGCTTTGCAAAACAAGCCATGATAAAACTAAGATTTTACTTTCATCTTTCTTAGAAAGTTTAGTCAACACAATACAATATTGGGATGAAGAGGGAAAAGTCTTTTTTCTAGCTCTCTCCCTCAAACTATGAAGAGCAATGGCTTCCTGTTGGGTGAGCAATCTGCTATTATGTTCATTTGATCAGATCCTTTATTTTCTTTTTGGACGCCCTTAGATAATTTTAATGATAAATTAAAAAAGCAGGTTTCTCTTGTCTCCTGCCACATCCCAGATCGAATGCCACTGAAGAGGTGATCTTCAACCTGGTTTGAGTGCAAACAAGGCACCAGTACTATTTCAGTTCGCAGCAGCCTTATTTTGGTACTGGTTGGCTTTCTTTCAGTTCTCTAGCTGTCCTGAGAAGCAGCAGAATGAAACTGAAGTGACTAATCTGCTTCCATGCCCTTGCAGGTTTGTTTCTCAATAGCACAATAAAAAGAGCCTGCTTACCATAGCAAACTTGCTTTCTATAGAGGGTGTGAGCAGTGACAAAGCTAGATCTGTTCCCTGCTGTCCCTTGGCATTCAGAAGGTAACTCATCAGGATTTTTAATGAAGTCTTAAATTCAGCTGAAGTCAGTACTTGGTAGGTAGTAAGTGCTCTTGCAAAAAACAATGCTGAGTAAAAGAAAACAGCCTTTGCTACCTCTGTAGCTAATGGGAAAATTATCACTATTGGTAAACATCAGACTGAACTGTATAGGTGACTCTCTTTGTTACAGGCTCAATAAGTAAGATTTTATTTATTTTTTGATTGTTGCTATATACATATATACATATATGTTGAGGTAACACACGACTTATCTGGCAAGTGGTAGACTTTAACTTTGCTCTGGAAAGCAGAAGCCGGCAAGAAAGGGCTCCATCGTGGTTAATTCCTAAAACAGGCCCCACTTGGTTGTGGATCTTACAGAGAAATAGAAAAGTGGAACATGTAACATGCGTTTTTGATTTATTTGTAAACTGCTCCACTGGCTGACATGGTGCAATGATTGTAAACTCACTCTTGCATCATTCTGTTTGCAAGTTCTGTGCATCCAAAGTGAAAGGTCTTGTGCTGCTGGAAGCAGAAGAAAAACTTTTCCCATCCTCTGTACACCTTAGAAAGTTCATGTCTATAAAGCTAAAAAAAGAGGTTTGTCTCTTTGAATTGTATTAATTTCGGACAGTGAAAACATGCAATAGGCATGCACTGTACAATAGAAATATGTGAAGCAGGATTTAAATATGAAAACTGTATTCTGCTATCTCACTACCCACACCACACTATCCATTTGGGAGTTTGGGTAATATCTAAGTAATCAGTGCTTCAAACTTTTAACATCTATTCCAATTCACACTGATGAACTACATACCATACAGCAATGTTACCTGAAATTTAACTGTCTCCAAAAAACTAAGTCATTCTTTGGGTAAAAGGTTCATTTTAATCCTTTGTGCAACTAGGCTTTATAATGCTAAAACACTTTGTGCTCCCCAAATATGTACATCATATCTTTAAAGAGCACAGTTACCATCTATACAAATATGAAGCTTTCATTTCAAAACAGAACTTAGAAGTATTTCAATAATGTAGGTCACATCAGCAAAGACTTTCTAGAAAGTTGTGCTGTAGAAAAAGAGTCCACCATGGTTTGAAAGGGGACAGTTCTACTACAGCATGCTCTACTCAATCAGAAAACTTCTGCCGATTTTCCTCCATCTTTCGGACAAGCACAAAAAGTACTAACATTGAACATTATCGTTTTCCATGCACGTGGAAATAGTCCTAATTCTTGGGACTATGTAAAACAATCTTTAGTTTTGTTATTTCAACACAGCTGATAAGCAGTTATGTTCTAAACCAACCTGGAATTACCTTTAAACCAACATGGAAATAGTTCTGATTCTTGGGACTATTTCCATGTTGTTTCTAAAGTAGTTCCAGGTTGTTTTAGAAGATAACTGCTTATCAACCATGTTGAAATAATGAAACTAGAGATAATAGTACAAAAGCATTGATACATAAGCATGTATGTTAATACAAGTTTGTATCATCCTGACTCCAAAAGCCTTTTTTGTCAAGGCTGAATTCCTCTGAAGTATTTTGCATTTCCCTCACCTCTGTGGCTCATCAGTCCTGTGCTAAGCAGCAAGTGAACTCTTGCTGTGTCAGAGGTCTGTATCTCAGTGGAATGTCACAGCATAATGCTAGATTTTTTTCCCCAGAGCCAATAGCTACCTTCTCCCAAGCACTACATATTCTCACACTAGCTTTTAATTCCTTTTTAACTGTATAAACATTTGAATCCTGCTTGACCTACCTTTCCAAACTAGAATCACAACTGCATTCATACACAGCAGAACTGAAAATCTGCTTACAGATTCAGAGGCATACAGCTAAGTGACAAATTCTCATCTCAACTTTGAAGTTAGGACTATGTAAGAAAGTTTACAGGAAAGTGATAACTATTTCTGAATTTTCACAAATTTACACAATATAGGAGAAGCATGAAGTATCCTGTCCATAGAATACGGTTAGTGCTAGAAGGACTTTTTGACAATGTCACGCAAAACACATCTACAAAGTGCGCATTTCAGAAGTTCTGCCTCTAGTCTAAACGTGGAATGCATGGGAGGAGGGCAGCCTTCTCTCAAGAGCAAGTTTTAACACTAAATTGCTGGAAAAATAATTTTTCTTGGCACAGGACTTCTAAATACATCAATGCAATTTATGCAAAGATTATCCTCTTTTGCGTATTTGCAGAAACTTAGTGCAGTCACATTTCAAAGCTTGTGTATTGTCATTTACGCAGAGAGTAAATCCAAGGACAGAAACTATTAAACAGTGAATACAATTTTGCTAATCTTTAACCACAAACACTAAAAATAAATGTTCATAGTTAAGAAGTTAAATGACTTAGAATTTTGGACCAATCTGCAGGACTACTTGAAGTAAAAAATTAGACCTCTAAGATAGGTATTAAATTCAGTAAATGCAAATAGCTTTGAAATATGCTCCTTTATATGTCCCTTCATACTCTAAAGAAATGTAGCACCATCCAAGGGGGGCTGGCAGCAACTTAAAAGTCATAAAGCTTCTAGTCAGTTTCAAGTATGGTCTTAGCTGCAAAAAAGACTCTGTAGCTTTGACCTCGCTGAATTAACTTTGTCTTTTGAAAGCACAATTAAAGAAACTTTAAAAATCACCTTCCCAAACTAAAATGTTGAAAAGTTTCATTTTTTCACCTTAAAACGTGTTCTAAGACCAGAAACTGACAGCTGATTTAATACATGCACAGACTTAAAGTACCTGAATATAGAATTCAGTGTTAATGTTAGCAGTAATAACCTAATTAAGTACATTTTAGATTCTAAAATATCATCTTTGCTAACATCTAAACTTCAAGTCATACTCATTTTAGTGAAGGCATACTATAATCATAAGCCCCTGTTGAAACCATAACTAGTGTAAATGACAAGCTTAGTACAAAAACCTATGACAACTACAATTTTAGCTCTATAAAAAAGCAAGGAGGAAGGCTTAAAGTAGACACACGAAATTGCTTGGTTACTTTTTGTGGTGTCATTAGTGGTAAAGATGAACTATAATATCTGGTAGACATCTGTGAACGGTCAACCTGACAACAAAAGTGCTTTAAAATTAAAATGACACAATCAACTGTGTAAGCCAGCTAAACTGAGCCTAAAATGCAACAAGAGCAGGTCCTGTGGCAAAGACACACCTACTTC